GGGGGGGGGAGACTTTCCCTGCTGAGAAGATGAAGGGATGGGAGGGGAGTGGTCCTTCCTTGATGCTTTGTGTGTAAATTCCCTTCTGCAAAGGCTTTTCTGAAACTCCCCTGAGTCCAGTGTCTTTGGACTGTTTTCTCTGGGAGTAGCATGACATAGGCACAAAGTTTTGCTCCTGTTGCCCTTGATAGAGGTTGCGCTTCTGGGCTCATCATCGATAATGCAGGCGGAGGATGTGCTTGGATACCTGAAAGCAAAAATTCCCCTGGGTCTGTAGTATTTTCCGTGCATGTTTATGCATGTGTATGTACACATGGGGTCACACAGGGTCCTGCAGCGTTCGCTCTGTTGCATTGTGCACGTTGGGGGTATGTAACAGCTCCCAAGACAGTTATGGAGCCACTTGATAAATTATCTGACAGCATACCCCTCATGACCCCTCCACCTGAGCGAGCTCATTTCCTTAGGCTCAAAAAACACAGGTGAAAATAAGCAATTTCCTCTGCCCATCAGCCTGCCGATGTGTTTCCTCATGTTCCAGTTGAGGTGGAGCTTTCCTTGGAAATTACCCCAGCAGCAGCCAAGGTGGCACCTGCCCACGTCAAAGTCAGGAGCTGTATCCTACTGATGTGCTCAGCAGGAGCAAAGATTTGGTTCTAGTGCTAAAATACAGAGACCTGGAAAAATACGATCTTATGTATAGAAAGGTTTTTATTTAAGAGAATTTTATGGCTATGTTTTGGCATTTGCTGCTGCAAGCCCCTGGGGCAAATTCCTGGCCTCGATGAAGTCCTTGAGTATTTTACCATTGACTAATTTGAAACTAGCACTTCATTCCTGACTTCACATGTGGGGGGCCCTAAAATAACACGATTAAAGTATTTTTGTTCTGTGGAAAATAGCAGTGCATGCAGATGTGCAACAGAGTAGTGGTCACAGAACCTGCTATATACATCCTCCATCTGTTGTGCTTTATTGATGAAATAAAGTCATCTTATTTCCAGTAAAATACCAGCCCTGCAAGCCATGCACTGCCACGCGAGAAAGTCTGCATACGGGGAAGCATGTGTGCACTTGGTGGCTGGAAATGTTTCTTCCCCATCTGACTCTTGGACATTGCAGATTGATTTTGATTTGGGCTTTGCTTTTAAGTATTACAAGGAGAGGGGGAAAACTAATAAATGTCCTGGTGGTTATGAGTATCCTCAGACTGAAGAAAACACTTAAGAAAACACTTGGTTTGGGAACATTATCTTAAAAGCCAGAAATTATGACAGAAGGATGCCACAGGTTTTTGAGCTTCTATAGTTTCTTCAAGAGAAAAGTTTACTTGTTTCTCCCTGTTTGACCTGATTTGCTGACCATCGAGCTCAGTCCTCTCCCTGTCCCCAGGGCAGACTGGGAGCAACCTGGGACTGGTGAAAACCAGCTTGATGAGCTTGTGCCTCCCTCCCTTTGGCGGCACATGGCCAAAGTCGCAGCAGGCAGCTGCCAGGTGTTCATGTGTGGGTCCTACCTGTCTAAAGTGAAGCACTTTGGGTTAGGTAAGGATGGTTCTGAGGTGGTGTGTGAGAATAGGACTAGGTCATGCTGGTTGCCAAGGTAGATGGGAGATCACCCGACACAAGGTCAGGGATGCAGCAAATGCTTTGTTGTCCCTGGTTCATAGGGAAAACTGTTTCATTAATATTGCTATGGCTTATTTCTGCTATGGTTCAGAGTGCTGGAGCAGGAGAGTACTTGTGATAGAAGGCAAGGCAGAGGCTGCTCACAGGCTCCTGATGGCATTTGTGCAGGAGATTGGTCCTGAGCTCAGGAAAAACCTGCCAGGAGGTTGAGTCTCCCTAGGATGAGGTCTGGGAGACCAGATGGGATCTTTTCTCCTTGCTGTACTGAACTGTGCTGTGCCATGGGACTGTTGGAGCCAAGGGATGCTGGGGCAGTTGCTCCTCATGGTTGCTCCTCCAGAGATCGTTTCAGACCCGCAGGGTCTGTCCAAGTCAGTGCCTCTGGCCTAAACCAAAGATGTATAAACCAGAAATGCTCAGGAGTGACACGTAACAATAGATCACTCCCCAAAGGCTGACTTGCTGCCCCATGAAACCAGTCCTGTTCCCGTACACCCAGCAGACCACAGCAAGTGGCTTGTAGAATTACAGAATAGTAGAATAGTTTGGGTTGGAAGGGACCTTTAAAGGCCATCCAGTCCAAGCCCCCTGCCATGGGCAGGGACATCTTCAACTAGATCAGATTGCTCAGAGCCCCGTCCAAACGGACCTTGTAGGCACAGGAGAAGTCATCGCTGCCCAGCCGTACACGTCACAGCAAACAAGAAGGCAAAGTGGCAAGATTTAAGACATTTAGGTTTAGAATGTAGTAATATAAGCTTCATTTTCAAAGTGTACACGTGTTTAGGTACTGTACCATGTGTTCATGTGTCATGTAATTTGTATAGTCTGGGTATGTTTTTATATTTGGTGCTGTCTTTTTAAAGAAAAAAATAACAATTATTATGCTAGATTGTTTTGCAGAAGAAAAATGTATCCGGGCTTAAGGGCTTGAGTAGGATTTGGCTGCTGTGCATTGTACTAAATTCCCTTTGATGCCTTTGTGATAGATTAAATATACATATGTTGCTTTTGTGAGGAGGGTTTTTTTTAAGCTACAGCTATGGTAGTGGCAACAACTGACAAAAACTATTTCCATTTCGGTTTTCCTCCCTTTCAGGTAAACTGTCGCTGGAAGAGTTCATCAAAGGTGCCAAGAGCGATCCCTCCATTGTGCGGTTGTTACAGTGTGACCCCAGTAGTGCGAGTCAATTCTGATTAAAGTGGACTGTGCACAGAGAATCTCAGCTTGTGTCCTTCAAGCTTTGCTCGCAAATGGATGCCTTCTCAACCATCCCTCCACACTTTGCGGATAAGATCCCATTGCCAGATTGTGCGTGTGTGTGTGTGTGTCCGAGCGAACCAGCCCTCGCTCCCCTCACTAACACCAGTGCAGCTCTCCTTTGGCAGCTCAGTTTCTGCTTTCCAGTAATGTTATGATTCACTCTACACATTTTAAACGTTAATCGAAAGGTATGTTTACATGCAGCTACAAAAGAGTTCAAATCGCTGGTGTGATACCACTTCACTTAGTCTGTAAGAAAGGTGATGTCCTAATAGTTCCTGAGAAGATGCTAGGTAGGACTTTTACCTGACATAGCAGATGGTAGATAATTTATTTTGCTTCAGAAATTACTATGTAAAAAAAAAAAAAGTGAACTGAATGGAGTAGAAACTTTAAGAAAAAAAAAAAAAAAAAAAAAAAGCACGCAGCTTTCCTGGGCATGGTTCCAATTTTCTTTTTGAGGAAAATTGCTTGCACTTATCTAATGGTCTTTACTTTCTTTTAATATATATATAAATTATATATATATGGTGAAGTAAAATTTTAAATATTTAGGTCATCTATTTAAGGCATAAAATAGAATTCGAGCTTTGTTTCTTCTAGTTGTCTGTGATTTATTCAAATCTTGGAGATTGTTTTTTTGTGATATTTATGCATTAGCAAATTGCTGTTCCAGAAGAAATGCATGACTAGCAGTTTGTGGATATTTCACTCTGTTTAATTCCTGAATGCAAGTATTTGTTCATTTTTACTGTCAGTCATTCCAACATTACTGTATTAACAAAGGATCTGAAAGGAATTCATCCTCATTTTGTATTTCTCAGTGGAATCCTACTTTCTGGTGGTTGCTGCGTTAAATGGCTTTTGAATGCCCCGAGGTGACGTGACTCGCACTGCTGTTCTCAACTTGGCTACACCTCCTCCCTTTTGCTGTCAATATGTTAATAGTCTTGTGCATTCCAGTGTTATTTAATATCTGCCTAATGCCAAGAAATATTAATTGAAATAAAAGCCTACTTTTCTTGTCACTGCCTGACTTGGTCTAACCCATGCAACAAGTTCCTAGCATCGCATGTTTGGGGAAGGACGAGGCTGGCTCCCTGCCTGACATGTCCCCATCTTGTCCAAGACTCATTGCCTTGTAAGTACGTACCTTTTTTGGGGAGCCTACTGTTGTGGCTGGGTGAATGCAGCGGTGTTAGTGCCTGTGGGTGCTTGTGCGTTCCTGCTCTGTCCCAGCTGGGTGCTGGGTGAAGGCAATTCCTTGGTGAAGACCTCAGGAAGATGACAGCTCAGTTTTTCCTGGATGTGGAGCAGCTCAAGTCAGTGAAGGGAAAGCTGCCAGCTCTGCTGACTGGGCTGTTGTGACCATGATTCACAAAATAGAAGTGTCTTGGTCCTGTCAGGTCCCAGGTGCATGCTGTTGGAATAATGTTTGACACTGACAGTATGGAAAGCAGTTTTTCCCGTGTTCGTCAGGTCCACAGGTAGCCGCTTAAGCCTGTGCTCTCTCTAGAATAAAATATCAACAAATTATTTGGCCCAAGGTTATTGTTAAACATGTAATTAAAGGATTTTTGCTGTGTAGAATGTCCTAGTAGTAGTTAGGTCTTAATACTTTAATATTAAAAAAAAAAGAGATAGTTATAATATCCAAATGGAAATGTGTTGTTAGGTCAGACTTGGTCTACAGTACAGACTCAAGTCACTGCTGCCAAGCAGAAAAGTGTGTTCATTTTTTCCCTAGAAATTCAAATTTGAGCTATTGAACCAACAGTCCTTTCAACCGCAACACCCTGCTGATGAGTGCAACCTTGAAAGGGAGGTTAATCAGAAGCCTGACTGCTTTCCCTGGGCAAGCCCAGCAAAAAAAGCAAACTACTGAGAGAAAAAAAAAAAAAAGTAATTCTATGGTTGCTTATAGTCTGTCTCCAGCCTATTTGTGTTCATGCTGGCTGTCTCGCTGCCAGAAGATGCTGTGGTGTTAAAGATAGTGCAGATGTTCTTACACTAATGGCTCTTCTTGCACAGGCTGGGTAGCGGTTGTTTAGATGCAGATCAGCCACCATGGGCTTTATCATCTTGTCTGCGGGATGGTGCCTCTGAGAGGGACCGCAGCATTTGAGTCTTGTCCGTGCAGTCTTAAAATGAGTCAGGCATATTTTTTGTCAAGCATTGCAAAATACCCTTTTAGGAAGCAAGCATGTAAAAACTTTTTTGCTGTAACATTCATAAATGCAGCAGTTCTTCTGTCATTGTTCATCTGCTCTCGCAAGTGGAACTTTGTCACCTCTTTCACCTTTTCCTCACATTTCTCCTCTTCTGGTTTCCACTTCTGTCTGTAGTGAATAGCAGGTTTAAGTAGCTGTTTAACAAAGCCCAAACTCTTCTCATTTAAAAAGAAAAAAAAAAAACCACAACTCCTTACAAAAGTGTTTTTTGACCTTGTATTTACAGAAACAAAATGGAAGTCTGAATTTTAGTGGTCAAAAACTTCCTGTTTCTTTGACTTTATAATTTTTTCTCTGAAATGTGCCAGGGTATCCACGATGGAGTTTACTGCCTGCTATGAGCTGACAAGCCCCTGCACAGCTCTGTGCAGACACTGGGATTGTGTCCTGCTTGATTTGGTCCAATTTCTTCTGCCTTTCTCTTTGCCCCTTTAAACTTTCCAGTGTCGGGTTTAATTTTTTTTTTTTTTTTTTTAGGTTGTCCCCACTGCTTTCCCAGCTTTTAAGGGCAGGGTGGATTGGCTCCGTTTCAGACCGGGGTTGGCACAGTATGCAAGCAAGACACTCTCCAGTTTGCCTCTTCAAAAGCAAATGAGGAAGATGCCCAGGAAAGGTGGTCATGCACAGCATCCTGGGGGGACTGGGGAGATGCTCTGAAGCCCAACCAGGCAGAGCTTTTCAAAGGTGGCTTCTGATACAGGGAACCTTTTGATTACAGGCCAGCTAAGTACTGAAAAGGGCTTTATCTGCTGCTGCCAAACAGCTCTCTCAAGAAAATGAGACCTGCTTCAGAGGCTGAAGTTGTACATCTGCAGTCACTGGGTAACTTTGAACATCTTGGCTGTGCTTTGAAGAGTTCCTCTGAGGAAGTGTCTGCTTCCCTGGCTGGTAACGAGGATTAGGAGGAGAGAGCGATTTCCAGGCCTATCCTCCAGGATGTGTTATTTGAGAGTTGATGCAGGTGGAGTTCAAAACCGATGCTCACGGAGCTTTACTGCTCACTGGGCTCTGGAGGTGTCTTTTGGAGAGGGACTGGTGTGTAGGGAGGTTAATCACTTGTGAAATGATGTCCAAGTGATTAATAGAAAACTTTAACTTTTTAAGTGACTGGTGTTTTGGCAAATTATATGTTCGATAAAATACTGAGTCTAACATAGTGAAAGTGGAGTTTAGCATAAAAAAATCCCCATCAGTGGGTCCCTTTTTACCTCACTTTAATAAGCTATGTAATTATTTTCTTGCCACGGAGATATTTAGCACTCTGAAAGCTCTGGCTAATTACTACATAAATTCAGGCTTTTCTGTATGAATTGCAGGTCCTGTTAAGCTAATTCAGAATTATGTCATTGCCTTTCAAATTAAAGTTAATGCCTGTCTGGTTTCAGCCTAACTCCAGCCTGGGTGGTGGAGGTGTTTGGATTTGATTTAGTGTTTCTCTGTCACCAGGTTTGCATTGGCCCTTTGTTTTTAAATAAGGCCCTTTGCAACGTATTTTTACCATTAGCCTCTTAGTAATAAACTTACACGAAGAACAACGTGAGCATTTCTGCAGCCAGCAGGCAGATGGTCTCCATGGATAGTCCCTGATCCATTATGCAGGGCACCATCTATTCATATTTAAAGGTTAGGAACAGCCATCAACTTTAATGGTCCAGTGGGCAGACTGGCATTTTGAGATCCTTGAGCAGTGTGATAGCAGATACACAGCTGATGAACCTGATAATTGCTGTTACCTCTTTTGGGAGGAGAGATGCTTCATTGAAAAGAAGGAAAAGAGGGGAGGAGAGGGGAGTATCTCTGTAGAAGCTTTGGAGATGTGCCTGCATCACTGGGAGCAGTGTGCCTGCAAGCAGACCGTACCTGTTGCCTACCTTTACCAAGTGATGACACTGGTACAGATGATCTGGTTTGGACCCAGACATGCTTCTGAACACTCTCTCATGGTCACTGTGGTTAAAGGGCAACTAGTGCATCACCAGAGGGTCAAGTTAATTCCAGGCTGATGGCCATATCATACAAAAGAAGGAGGCAAGGAGCTGTTGCAGTGGTTGCCTAGTGTGTTCAGAGACACAGGGCTCAGCCCATAACCACTAGTTGTGCAGGTTATTTTAACAGGCTTGTAGCAGGCTAGCTCATCCTGCTGGAGGAGCAATTTATCCTGAACAAAACCTTTACTGGTTGGGCTGTCACTATAAGGAATCGTCTCTCACCTGAAACTGAGAAGCAAGATTACCTCCTTGCTCTTCACTGCACACATTCCCACACCTTGGTGTTTGGTGCATGTTGGGTCATCCTTAGCTCCCCCAAACCCTCCCTGCTTGTAGGGCTTACACCTCTCAGTATATCTTTGGTGTCTTCTCTAACCAGTACCTGGCACCAGGATCTGCATCACTAAAACTCTGGGTGCTGCCAGCTCACAGCTGTGCTCCTGGGTTCCCACCGCAGCATCTTTTTACTTGCACTGTTTTGCCTAGGATCTTGGTAGCTTCCTTTTCCTTAACTGCATCTGACATGCAGCAGTATGGAACTCAGTGCAGAAGACAGGGCACACAAGTCTGAGCTGGTCACAGAAATATTATAGCAAATATGATAAATTACATCCTGGATGAAGTTTGCCTCTGCATTCTTGCTCCTGTCACCCAGGCCATTCTGCAGGTAAGGAGGTGTAAGGAAGGGAGCCTGTTTCTCCCTGGTGGTGCCTGCTCTTCCCTGGGGATGGGGGTGGGGTTGCACTGCAGAAGAGAGCAGAGTGGGGACAGGTCTTGCCTAAGAGTCCCATCCTGTCAAAGGCACTCACAGTGAAAACTTGAATTGTCTTTCCCAGGTTGGTACACAGGCATCTTTCCAGTTGCTGTTTGCATTTTGCTCTTCAGCAAAGTGAAATAACCTACTCAGTTTTTCAAAGTGAAAAAAGTAATATCCCGAAAGCCCAGTGTGGGTACAGATTCAGCCAGGGTTGAACCCAGACTTTCTCCAGAAAAGTCTGGAGAAAAGGAGGCTAAGGAGAAACTTACTGCTCCCTACAACTACCTGAAAGTATGTAGGGAGGTGGGTGTTAGTCCTTTTCCCAAGTAGCAAGTGATGAGAGGAAATGGCCCCAAGCCAGAGGAGGTTTAGATTGGATATTAGAAAAAACACCAAAAGCATTATCAGGCACTGGAACAGGCTGCCCAGGGAAGTGGTTGGGTC